GACAGAACTGCCATTGAATTCGGGTTTCGATCGGCGAACGAACTCTTCATTGTTGATCACGAGTTCGTTGTCGTTGAAACCTGAATGCATTCACGGCTTAAACACTGCTTTATTGACAACAATCAGACAGACATTGAGAGCGAGAATGAAGATTATTTGGTGAGCGAAAGTCTTCGCATTCTTGGGATGTCCTGAAAGAGAGACAACTGTCTTCAGGGGTGAGTCCACTATAGAGGCGATACTCACGTATTCCTCCATCGAGAGAGTGCGCCGGCGACCGATGGAGCCCAGAGTCTTCGGGTCGCGACCTGTTGGGAGAAAGGGTTAGTATTCAATGGTAGTCATGACAACCACTTGCCGTCGGCCGAAGGACAGGAAGTGAGAAAACCCAATCCCTTGGCGAACAGAAGCAGACTTTGCGCCAATTTGTCGGGAAATTCGCTGCAAAGAGAGTGTATTAGTTTGGAGGCGCGCGATTGGCTGCTTTGGCAGACCTGATGACGTCAGTGCATTCGTCCACTTTCAACAGCGAAGTCTTGGTTTTGTTGCATTTCGAGTGAATGGCTTCCACGCCTGCGCAGTACGGCGACTTCGCGCCAGTGACCAGCAGCACGTCCAGCTCGCGCAGATCCGCGATCTCCTTCCTCTCCATGTACGCCGTCACGTATTTGCGGAGATTGCGCGCGTTGATGGTCTGCACGCGCGCCCCGTACGCGTCCATCAGGCGCCGCGACGTCTCGTCCCGCTCCTTCCCGATCTGAGGACAGGAGAGTCACGTGACACAGAATGGCTGACCACTGACTGACCTTGTGCAGCGCGACGATGTCCAGTGGCGACATCTGCTGGGAGTTGCGGCGGAAGAAGAGCCGATCCTTGAGCGCGTCCAGGAAGCCCACTTCGGCGCTGACCAGGTGCACGAGCACCAATCCCAGCACGCGCTCCGGGTGGCGCAGCGCGAAGCGGGCCAGGATGTTGGCGCCGGCGCCCTCCCCCAACCCCACCACGAGCGGCACGTGCAGCGCGTCCAACACGTCCGCCAACACCTCCTCGCCTACGTGCACACAATAGACTATAGGAGCGCTGTCATGACTACACAATGGCTTATCTGCTGGATGGTGGGGAAGTCGCCTTCAAGGTCCTCCGCGTCCGCCTCCTGACCGCAAACGTCCAAGTGGACGAACACAGAGCGGTTCTTGATCTCCAGCACTAAACAGTTGTATTGTTAGAGCGCGCGAACAATGATATCAGAGAATAATTACTCGACTCGTTGTCCACGAAGTCCTTCCAAGAACTAAAGGAGAGAATGCATGAGTAATTAGCGCGAGACACGACAATAGCGACCTGTGGTTGGCGCCGATGTCGTGAACCGTGAGGAACACGGCCTTCGACTGCATCTGGTCCAGAGAGCCTGAGGGGGAGAGAGTGAGCGCGGGAACAATAGGGAACAGAGCGCACCTTGGACGTGGACGCGGACGTCGCCATGAGAGCGCGTGGCGACTGTTCTGGACTCGACTTTTGGCTCGTGTTCGCAAACGGTCTCCAAATTGGACTCCAATTCCGCCATTTTGTCCCGAGAGTGACAACAATGCGCGCAATCGCGGCAATGGAACGCAGAATCCGTCGCTTCGAATCGCGCGCCGGAATTCAAACCAGAAAAACGGG